AGATGGAAAATACAGGGACAGGAAGATGGATGAATGGACAGCTGGAGGAATGGGTGGGAAGGAAGAAAAATGGATGGACGGAGAGAAGGCCAGAGGGATGGAAACGATGGAAGGGAAAAGAGGAAGGGGTGGGAGGGGAAGGGAAGTGAGAGGGAAGAAGCGAGGGGAGTTCTGGAAGAGAAAGAGAGGAAAGCTAAGACAGAAGCAGGGGAGGGAGGGAACGGGAGAGGGAACACGGGGAGCGAGGATGGAGGTGTCTCTAGCAGGCGTCTGCATGCTCTCCCCATCCACCTCTGCGGAATGGCTTCTCCTCCCCTGCCGCCATTTGACCCTGAGCCCGGGGCTCAAACGCAAGAGGGCTGTGCTCCCAAGGGGGCTCAGCGGATGGAGGCCGCAGAGCTGGGTCCAGCACCCACGTGGGCGGTGACTCGTCCACGCCTCTAGGAAGCTTGGGAGGCTTCCCACGAACGGGCTTCCGGAGCAGGCGCAGCTCAGTGAGCCCTGAGGATGGTTCCCACAGCGCTCGAGCGGCCGGCGCGTGAGTGTGCATCAAGCCTCCACCCTCGCCCCACAACCCAGCGACATTTCAGACGCCGTTCCACTGCCCTGGATTTTACTGCAAAACAAGCAGCTCTTGCGCGGGGCAAGGTGGCAGGGAGCGGGAGATGTATGCCCGATATTTATTCCCTTAGAATATTACCCGAATATTTATGTGGCTATTTACGCCCGAGCTCCAGCAATCGGCTGTGACTGGGGCAGGCTGACCACCGCTGTCACAATCTTGGCCGCGTCTCTGTATTACGTGCTGTTATTGAATTATTGTAAAATCAGGGGTTGGGCAAGCTAGCTATACTTTTGTAACTCATAGTAAAATAAATATCTAACGATTTAAACACTTTGCCCCTGTACCATGTATCCCCTCTTGCACAGTCCCGGGGCACACGGAGCCCTCTGGTGGGGAGGCCCGTCTCCTGGGCATCGGCCTGGTGCCGGGCTCCATGCTGACGGCTTTCCTCCATCTCCCATCATCATCACAACCCGGGAAGGTAGGGGCTTTTCTTCTGCCCATTTAACAGATGAGGACACTTGAGGCTCAAGGAGGTGGAGTGACTTGCCCACGTCACACAGCTGGGAGATGGTGGCGCCGGGACTCAGAGGCAGAGGGAACTGATTAGAAGGTGCCTGCCCTAAACTCAGGACACACGGCCCAAATCGGGAGACACCACTGACCTCGGTGCCCACCTTGTCTCCGACTGGTCCTTACACTCACGGGTTCTCCGTGAGTGCTTTCACCTGGGAGTCTGGGAACTGCTGATCTCACGCAGATCCCTGCTTCTACCCTTGCCCCCTCCTTTGGTCTGTTCTACGCCCGGCAGCCAGAGGGAGCCACTTAACCGTAGTCAGATCATGTTGCTCCTCGGCTCAAAACTCTCCAGCAGCTTCTTGTCACCCTTAGACTATTATCCGAAGCCTTGTGTGATCTCCCCCACCCCCTACCCCACTGCCCACCACAGTCCTTCCTCCTCCTTCTGCTCCAGCTGCACTGGCCTCCTCCCTGTTCTTGGAACCTGCCAACTTTAACCTGCCTCAGGGCCTTTGCACTGCTCTTTGTCTGGCACATTCTTCGCCCAGATACCCACATGGCCCACTCCCTCACCTTCTTCAGGTCTCTGCTCAGATGTCAGAGAAGCCTTACCTGGTTATACCGAGTAAAATAACCACCCCTGTGACCGTCTCTGCCCTGACCCTGCTGGTCTCTCTTCGGAGCTCTTTATCTGACATTATATGTTCAGTTGTTTATGGTCTGCCTCTCCAACTGGAGGATCAATGCCTTGAGGGCGGGGATCTGGCTGTGTTGTGTTGCCACTGAACTCACAGCACTTGGAGTAGGGCCTGGCAAACGGTAAGCTCTCCATAAACCGCTCCTGCACAGGGGAGCTAACCCCCCTATTTACAGATGCACTCCAGGCTCGGCACACAAGGGGATCTGACTTTGCTCCTTAAACCCGATCATCCGATCATCCAGGCACGAGCCAGCCTTGCGCTGGCCTCCCGCAGGCCGGCTGCCCCCCCCCCCCCCCCCGCCGGTCCCCAGCGGCTTCCCTGGGGAGCCACAGGAGGCTGCCCTCTAGACTCTGACCGGGGCTCCCTGCTCCAGCCAGCAATATGTTTTCACTTGTGAGTCTTAACTTCTCCATCGTGTAACGTGGTTTCAATTCTGCAGAGGTGCCCTGGGGGCTTCTGGCATCGGGGACATTTTGGAAAACATTTAGAGAATAAAAACAAACTGGTTTTCCTCTGAGTAGGTCCAGCTGGTAATTAAGATCCTTCTCCAAGAGGCGCGACTTCGACTCCAGGGCCAGCGAGGAACCGCAGGGGTGGGGGGTTCAGAAGACCTCAGCTTGAAACGCACGCCAGTCCTGCAGAAAACCCGGCTCTCAGCCTCAGGTCCCACCAAGATGGACAAGGCGCCAACTACGTGTCTGGCGTTTTTACTACACAGCAGCTTCAAGCTCAGATCTCTGCCGGTGGACGTGGCATCTTCACCGGGGTGTCACAGACATCTCGGACCGCACGTGCCCACGGCAGAAGGGTGGCTGTCCCTGCTGCATTCCCACGTCTTCTCTGTCTTGCCGTGTCGGAGAATGGCACCACCGCCTGGGTCGGGCCAAGCCCAGGAGTTCTCCTTGACTCCTCTCTCCCCTCACCCCCACATCCAACCCATCAGCAAGTCCCCTGCGCTTTACCGCCACCCCAAAGCCGCATCTTCTCACCACCTCGACCCAATCCATGTTTCTTCCTTTGCTTGGACGACTGCAGTAATCTCCTGCTGGTCTCCCTGCCTCACCTGTCCCCTCCTAGTGCCCGTTCTCCACACAGCAGCCAGAGTGGTCTTTATAAAACATAAACCAGATCACGTGGCTTTTCCTGTTTAACGCTCCCTCGCCCCGCGATCACCCACAGCACTTAGAATAGACTCGGATGTCTGTACCCGTGTCTGGCCTACGCTTCCCCCTCCAGACGCATCCATCCCAGCCCCCCGGGCTTTCACTCACTCACTCCAGTCCCTGCGGTCTTCACACTAGTTCCCACCTGAGGGCCTTTGCACCTGCTGATCCCACCTCCCTAGATCTCCACCCTGCTGGCTCCCGTCGTCATTCAGGCCTTGGCTCAAGTGTCACCTCCTCAAGATGCCTTCCCTCACCCCCCATCCTACCCCCTTCCCTATCACTCACTATCACACCTCATTGTTTTATTTTCTTCACATCCTTTTCATTATCACAAACTTTCTCAGTTATGGATTTATTTGGTTGTTGATTGCTGGGGCCCCACAGATTTAGGGTGAATCAGAGAGTTGTGGTCCCTGCTTTTGTGGAACTAACATTCTAAGGAGGAGACAGAGAAAAACTAAGTCGACCCTGTACTTTTCAACTATAAGGGCCAATAATTTCAAATTTTTGTTAAAGTGAGTTGGATTTTGCTATTTGCCGTCAGCTGAGTCTCCCCTACTTTAGGATCCATAAATATCTGCTGAATTCAACTGCCAGGTTTGTTTTGGTTTGCTCATAAGTTCTCTCTCTCCCCCTCTCTCCCTTCCTCCCCTCCTCCCTCTCTGTCTCTTTTTCCCCAAGATATGAGAGATCACTGAAAACGGAGCCTGCACATTACTTTTGGCTAAAGAGACAGTCCTGGGCCTTGATGCTAGTGGTGTTCTCCACTGCTCCAGAGCTCTCTTCTGTCATCAAGAAATTTCTGCACAGATCCTCTCTTTGAAACAGCCACTGGGCAGAGAACATTGATTGCATTTCACAGACAGGAGGCCTGAGGCCCAAATGATTTGCCTACCTGGACAAAACACAAGATTGATCATTTCAGCAAGGATTTCCTCCTCTGTAACTCTAGGACTACAGACCGGAAAGCAAAACCTGTATCCTTTGCTGATGACAAATATTAATAATGCTCTGGGATAGCCAGGACAGATTTGGAATTTATAGTCTTCATTTTACTTCACAGTTTAGTCCCCAGGGAGTTCCTAAATTCCGAGAACAAATATTCCTACTGGGATAAATAGAATTGGTCTTTCACATACAGTTTTATTTGAGGTTATCTTTATTTTTCAATCTGTTAAACCAATAATGTCAATGTAATTTATAAAGCCAGAAGATCCTCACATTAATCCTCTTATCAGCCAAAAAAACCCTTCTTCACCTTGGAGAAAGCTGCTCGCTCTTTCATTAGAGGTAAGTAACGCATTGTATTTCCCATCTTGCTTTGGCTACCAGGAAGCTCAGAGATTAACTCTGAACTTAAGTGTAGTAGTTAACCTGAGCCAAAATTTTTGGTCCCATGCCTTATCCTTATTCATTACATAGCTTTTTATTCCTTTGCCTTTGCTTTAACAGCTCTATTTTAAAGATGTTTTCCATTTGAAATTCTTCCAAAATCTTTCTGACATAGGCTGGGTATAAACAAATGAATTAAATTTATTTCTGAAGCTGCTCTCCCTCTTTTTTCCATCTCCCCTGCCACTTGCTTAGGGGCACAGGAGCAGATACTTTAAATAAGCATAGTCCCTCTGCTCGCTCGCTCTCTTTGTAAAACATGTTTTCAGGGGAATGAAAATTGTTTTTAAAAGCTTCCATCCTGGCCCACTGCTAATTATTACTGACCCAGGAGGATCTGTACTAATTTGCCTTAATAAACTTATTAAATAGCAAATTTCAGGAGGAAGAAACTACACAGCCTTTATTGGATTAGTAAAACTGCCAGTGGACATCCCCACTAGAGCAGGGAGAAAAGCCCATTAATTGCATGTGGAAGCGGGGGGTAATCTGGTCAAGTGTGTTTCCAATCAACCGTCGCTAGCCACAGTTTTGTGCCTTTTTGGGGTCTGCTAGCAAAAGTTGCTAGCCTCCCGAGGAAAAAGAAAAAAAAAGAAAAGGCAGCAGATGCAGGTGATCAAATACGGCAAATATGAAACGGAACGAGCAATGCCAAACCTCCAGGTCATTGAAGAACAGATGCGTATCTGCGAGGTTGAAGATCATCTCCTCCATCATCAGGCCGATACGCACGGACGTCGTGGTGTCCTGGAAGAAAGAAAACGGGAGAAGCTCACGCAAGTGGAGCCTGCTGCCGTGGTCATCTCGGCCTCCCCCTCCTGCCCGTCCACCTCTGAGAGGCAGGTGTGGTCCCTCCTCGTCCCCACAGCTCGCACATGGCCTACAACGTGTCTCTGTGTGGGGTCAGGGTGACGAGGTGGCGCAGCTTCTGAAATTTCACGTCTAGTCTTCCTCATTTCCATTTACCCTCGCCAGTATTGAACCCTCCCCCCAACGCCCCTGCAACTGCAACTGTGTTCAGAGTTGCAAGGACCAGAAATGGCTGTAATAACGGAGGGCCTCTCAGCAAATGCGTGTTTTCAGAAAGGCCTGAAAGATTTCAGGGAAAGCAGTGTAAACACGCACAAATCGCTGGGAGAGCCGGAGGTGGGTTCTCTCTTTACAAAGATCTCTCTATGCATGCTGCCTTTCTCCTGATATTTTAAAAAATCACTCTTATCTAACAATGGGGGATTAATGATAAAAACAAAGACACAAACAATACCCACGATGGGACATCCATACCAGGGAAAACTAGGCAGCCATTAAAAAACTGAAGTCCCGCAAGAGCTGTTGATGTGAAACTATCCTGGAGAAACACAGTATCAACTAGCACAGCACAGCTGCAGCACCGGACGACGTGTGAAACGCAGGCGGGCCGTGCAAGGGTCCCTTCTCCCGCCCTCTCTTTGCTATATACGTGGTGTGACAGACTGTATTACTCTTCGCCCATCTTTGGGGTCCCTTCCTGAAGAGCTTCTCCCTGTAGGAGGATGATACCTGCCAGGGGTCACGAACTACAGCCCACGGGCCGGATCTGGCCTGCTGCCTGTTTTTGTACGGCTCACACACTAAGAATGACTTTTACATTTTTTGACAAGGTATCGTCTAGGGCTGCTTTCGTGCTCTGAAGGCAGACGTGAGTAGTTGTGACAGAGACCATATGTCCCCCAAAGACTCAAATATTTACTGTCTAGCCCTTGGCAGAAAGTCTGCCGGCCCCTGGTACACGGCCTCCCTGTGGGACTCAGGTGTGACCACGAGACTTGCTCTGGCCAATGATACACGAGCAGACGTTCACGCCTGTTTAAGAACTAGTGCCTGATTCCCCACGCTCTCTCTTCCCACGTCACGAGACTAAATGTTCTGGATAAAAGCTATTTGGTCAGCCTGGGTCCTAGAGGAAAGATGGTATGGGTCAGAGCCGCAGACCGCGATGGACATGCACCATAAATGAGGGGTAGACAGGATTCTGGGGATGTTTGTTGCTGCAGCATCACCTCGGCTACCCCAACTGATACGTGTGGAAATGACGTAGCACAGTGGTTCTCAACCCTGGGTGCACCCTGTAACGATTTGGGGAGCATTTAAAAATCCTGACCCTCAGGTCGCACGGAGACTAATAAAATCAGAATTGCTCGGGGTGGCGTCCAGGTATTAGGAATGTTTAAAGCTCCCCCACATGATTTCAATGTACGGCCAAGGTTAAGACCCACTGATCTAAAAGGATATACAACACGTACTAATATTCCTGGTTAATATCGATTAAGTGCTTTCTCTGTGCCACTTTGTAAGTATTAACTCATTTAATTCCCACAGAGCGCTTTGAGGGGAGCACTATTATTTTCCCATTTTATAGATGAGAAAACTGAGGCTCACAAAGCTTAGGTAACTGGCTCAAGGACACACAGCTGGTGAGTGCTGGAATTTGAATCCAGGTAATTGGGTTCCAGAGCAACACTGCTTCTGAGGGGAACTTAGTGGGGCCCGGGTCCAGAGAGGAGTGAAGGGGACCGTTTACTGTCACTCCACACACTTCTTTTCCTGTTTGAATTTTTCACCGGGAGGCTGAATTACTTCTATTACAAAAATAAATAAATAACAACATAAACCCTTCTTGACCCTAAAAAAAAAAAGAGCTGGTGATCTCAGCTTCACACACCTAACCGTGAAGAATCACACCCAGGAACGCAGCCATTAGGCAAAACACCTCATCAGGGCCCCAGCCGCCAAAGCTGAGCACTCCAGGTCCCGGCTGGAAGGCGGCAGGGCAGAGAATTCAGTGAAAAATGAAGAGAAAATGAGGAAAGCAAACTTCTCAGGGCCAAGGAGGGAATCATTGTGTGACCTGGGGGAAGGTTTTGGGGGTGTTTCCACGCATTACTCAAGGCCCGGACCATTTCACCCCTGCAGAACTGCACATTCCTTCCTGGCGAGGCTGTCTGAACACCTCACCATCCATGACCGGCCCTCCACGTACTTGACAAGAAGCAAGAAGCTGTCATCCAGACTCATCTGCTGAAAGGATTTATTTAGAAAAATGTCAACTCCCAGGCCAGCACATACAACAGGAAAAGTAATTATTGTATACGGAATGGCTTATCGGCAAAAAGTCTTTGCCTAGTTATAAGAAGGCAAGTACTCTATATTGATAAAGCGGAAATTATGATTTATTGACCCTGGGAGGATGTGAAGTTTGCATGTGTGTGATGGGGGCTGGGGTGAGAAAAGAGAGCTATTTCTTATCCTCTAATTTGGGAAGCCAGAGATCATGCCTAGAACAGAACAAAAGCAAGAAGTAGTTAACATCAGCAGGTTGCTTAGCAATCGGGAGGTAAGGACCAAAAGACGCAGCAAGAGTTGAAAGCTGTTGCCTCTGGGCAGAAAGAAAGTGTGGGTGTGGGTCCACTGGGGGCTGCTGTTTTTCACAATACTTGCCCTCGTAGAACTATATGAGTTTTAAACTATATGCGTATATTTCTTGAATTAAAAAAAAAACGAAATTAAAATTAAAGGGAACATACTTAGTAATTCCACTTCTTATTCTACCCTAGAGAAAAATCTGTACATGTGAACAAGGGGCATGTCAAAAGACGTTCATTACAGAATTGTCTGTAAACTGCAAAAGACTGGAAACGATTTAACTGTTCAGCCAAAGGAGACTAGAGAAATAAAAAGTGTAATATAAAATGTAAATATAATAAAATCTATGTCGTACTCCCTCCATGTCCCACCCATCACCACCTACCCCATGAGTAAATCTCCCCCCTCGTTAACTACAACTTGCACAATCCAGCCCCTTAGCTGCCCCCACACACATCCCTCATATAAATGACCCACCGCCTATAAGATCTACTGGCCCTGTGGTCTCAGGCAAGTTATATTTCAAAGCCTCGGTTTCTCCTTCTGTAAAATGGGCCTAACTTGTACTTTGTTGTGAAGATTAAATAAGATAATACAGTCATGCGTTGCCTAAGCACAGGGACATGTTGTACCACACACGTAGGCTATATGGCACTTCTCTTATGGGACCACCATCGTATACACAGCCCACCGTTGACTGAAACATCTTTATGCAGCACATGACTATATTTTCATACAGAAAACTAAATTTAGTTGAAAGAAATGAACCAGATCTCCATGTATTAACATGAACACATCAAAAAAAAATTGAGTGAAAGCAACAGTTTTCTGAAAGTTATATACTGCATGTTATTAGCATTTTTTAGAAACACATAAAATGTTACTACACATTTTCCATGGGCATTTATACATTATAAATATCCCGAGTCAGAACAGTAATTACTTCTGGAAGGCAGAGAGGAGGCAACAGGAATTAGAAGTGATGATCAAAGTGAACTTTAGCATTATCTAGAATATTCTAAAAATTGTTTAAAGGAGAAGAGATTCAAATATTTATTGTATAATTAAAAATTAAAACAAAATTTTAAAGACACTAGACTGTTTCTGAGGAGAGTCTTTAGAATACCCATCTACTCCTTGAGCCTTCTCATTATGTCAGGTTTCCCTAAAATCTGCCTTCACGTTGCCTGTTAGATTGTTTTAAACTGCGTAGGTGGGACTTCTTTTCAAGGAACTTGATAAAAACTAGTTGTACAGAGGCGGAAAAGTCTGGAAGAGCCCAAGAACAGCACAACTGTCCCAGGAGTTAAGTAACACACAGGGTTACCCAGGCCAGACCACTTTATCCAAGTAGAAAATGTTTTTCCAGGGTTGCAGAGACTGAGAAACTATGAAAAAAAATTGGTGGAGACGCAGCATTAATTAATGTGAAATACATCTGGAGTGAGGGCAAGACGAAAGCCATGAGTTGCATCTCCCGCTGCCTGTGGAACGTGTCCCTGAGATACTCCATAAACACACCCCCCTGGTCCGTTGGCTCCGGTCACCCTGTGCAGCTTGTGGGGGAAGGACCCTCTGTCTGACCTCGCATGTCTCCCAGTCAAATAAAGCCTAAAATATGGGAGCCTTCACACCATGGTCTTCAGCTAATAAAAGGCCACTGACCCATTCAAATCCGCTCCGATCCCTCTACCACCTAACGTTGCAGTGAGGATTAAACGAGAGAGCACACACCTACCTGGGTGTGCCGTGGGCACTCCACGAGCGCTGGTTATCGTTAAAATCCCCCAATCCACTTCCTTGCACCCTAAGCCAAGAACCTGCTTCTGTAAACCTAGCAGAAGTACCCCAAATCAGACGGTACTTTCTGCAAGTACCATCTCACGTGAAAACCATTTTCTTAATCATTACATACCCTTTGGATTAAAAAAAAAAAATCAGTGGTTAATTTCCTAAATGAGCACCAGCAGAAACAGATTGCTCTTAAAAAATGATCAATTTAAACCAGAAGGGAGAACTGAGAAAACGGGGTTTTTCCAAAACAGGCTTCAATTTGTAAGTTGCCCGTTGAAGGATGGTGCTGGGGGCTGTGGGGCTGGGTGGAGGGGACGTCATGTTTGTTTGACTTGAGAGTTTGTGGGTGGTTCTCAGAATCCCAGGGTAGGTACAAATCAGACTAAGGTCCTGTAGATTTTTTCAATGTGCTCTAATGTTCTACAGATTTCTCAAGGTTCTCTTTTGATGACGGTGAGGTGGGCTGTGCACGCATTCATTTAGGAGGCTGATGAGGAGGCTCTGAGCGTTGGAACCCCCTGGAGGCAGACGCTGTGGATCTGCATGCAGTT